CAATCGCTTCAGAACTTCTTCGACAACTTCACGGTTGAAATACCGGGGTTACAGGAAGCCATTCTATTCCCGTCATGGCGCACAGATTATTCGAGAAAACTTTCGGTGTTATTCCAATAACCGCCGACTGCGAATATTTTCACGGTTAAGCTGCCGAAACACATTGCAATTACTCGACTGCGGATCTTTATGTGCGAATCCTTATCTTCACACGTTATTTAAAAAAAAATCAGAATGACGGAGAAACTTTCTTTGTCGATTAAGTCAAAATTACTTATCGCAAAATTTTAATTGCGAAATTACAATTACTTATAACCGATTCCGTTAGCCCATTACGAATCAGTTCAGAGTATAGCAACTGCAGTTTCTTGAAACTGCTTTTTCTTGACATTTGAAGCAACTTTTTCCTTAGCGAAAATGTTCTACGAGGCTTCGTTTACGAGTTATCAACGAAAAACAGCGACCAATGAGAGAGAAGCGAGATCAGCTGGCGCTAAGCCGCCGAGCCAATCGGCGGAACTGTACTTCGGCGGCTCATTGGCTCGGCCGTCTCGCGCCAGCCGATCTCGCCTCTCATTGGTCAATTCATTTCATTAATAACTCGCAAACGAAGCCGCGGATTGCATTTTCGCTGAGGAAAAAGTTGCTCCAAATGACCTCAAGAACCCTTCAATTCCCGCTTGCACAACAATTTTGTGACTATCTATTTTATTTGTGAACGATTGAACGAAGAACCGAGATCGCAAAGCAAGATTGCTTTGGTTTTTAAATTGGTTGGAATTTCGATTTCTTATTTCACTACGCGCTGGCTCCGACAACGTTCATTCAACGAACGAATGTTTAACAACGAACGTTGTTCAACAACAATCACGGAGCAGCCTTAGAAGACCGTTTAAAGAACAGTCGGCGGCACGGGGCCCGTCGCGACTAGTAAAACGTGCTCGTCGCCATTTGAATAAAATCTGTGAGCGTCGAAAATGCTCACACGATATGTATCGTCCCTGTATTATTTCCAAACGCCTTTGCGCGATCTGTTTTCGCCGTGTGATCCACGAATGACATCCGGGACAAGTTCGAATGGCTCGTATCGTCGCAAGAAGTGTCTCTGTTACGAGTGCAGCTGACGGAGAAGCGCGGAAGACTTCGAGAGATAGTCGCCCGTTTGCTCGATAAGGGACGCTTGGAAATCGCCCTCCTCCGGTTCTTCTGGCTCTCGCGTATGTTATAGCACTCGAAAACCTAAGCGACGCGTGTTCTTCTTCTTTTTATATCGGCGGTAATTTGGTTTAAAGAGGCGGAACTCAGAGGCGGAGTCCTCGAAAGCTGAGCGCGCGACATTGAAGTTCAAGAGAATTCCATATTTCCGCCAACTAATTACGCAACCAATTATTCTCGTCGCACGTTGAACTTTATGGGGTTGGTTTCGCCCCTGTAGACCGAGTTACCGACGATACGAGAAAGAAAAACGCGCCTATTGCTCTGTTTTTCGAGCGCTACGATAGGTGCGAAAATGGGAAAAGAAGTCGGAGGAAGACGCTAATCCAGCGCTCCTTGCGACAGGTCCTCCCTGGTCCGAAGAGGCACCCTTCGAATCGACATCGCCCGGGTCACTTCAATTTCTCGAGTTCGATTAGGTGTTTCACGCAGGCACAAGGCCAAGCTTCGACTGCTCGAACCGGTCCGTTCGCGAGGATCGATCTCGTTTGATCCGCGGGGATTCTTGCAAACACACCGCCGGCGAAGGTGAAGGCATGTTCCGACCAAACATCCGACCTCTTCCCTAGTCGCCCTCCATCGCATATGTATTTCGAGCGAACCGGAAAAGCGCAATTACCTATCGCGACACCGATTAGAGGTCCATTTATGCTCGCCGACGAGCCGGGCACGAGCCGAGCCGAATGAACGCATCGACGAAGCGTTTGAAAGCACGTGTTTGATAGCGTTTTATTACTTATTATTATTATTTCGGTTTACTCGTTGATAATAATAAATAATCGCTCGATTCTCGCGAGCAAAACTAAGTGGTTAAGTATTATGTTCTGCGTTTCCTTTGTTTTTCTGAACAGCGACGTTGAGAAATGAATAGATTTAAATTAAAAATTAATAGAATTAATAGAATAAAATAATAATTAAAAAAAGTAATATTTTTCAGCTAAGCACATTCAATTTAGAACAATTTCTACAGAATTGTGTTACACGTTCAAGCGAATCCAACGCTTGCTCGTTTCGACGCCATGGAATCTGCGCGGATTTCTGTCTATCGCGCGAAAAGAATCAGCTGCCAAACCGTGCCAACGAGAATTTCGTTAAAAAATAAGTATTTTCGTTTCGATTCAATTCAGAGATACACGAGAAAAACAGAGGCACGATCGATAACTCAGAGATAGATCCGTCCGGTGACGAATGAGACTAACTCATTTAAATCCATAATTGCAAAAGAAAATTTGTATTAAAATAATACAGTAGAAACGAACGTATAATATTTACGAACATTTACAAATTGTCTTGTCAAGACCACAGCTAACTAGTTAAAAAAGAAACACAGTGCGAAAATAGATGCATAAATACGATTTTCCAAATTTGGCGAACGCTCGAACTCCTCCCCCGTTTCCTTCCGATGCAATTTCCTTGCTCCGGCGCGATTAAAAGCCGAATGCTCGCTCGAAAATGGATCTGTTTATACAGACACGGCTTTTGCACGTTCAGAAATAATTATAAAACGCTGTAAATCCGCTCGGCCCTCGCCCGGCCCGTCGACGAGCACACATCGACGAGCCCGCGATTTCGAACGCGTTCCTTCGGAACGCGTGAACCGTGCATCCGCGATTCAAGTATCCGTGTTCATAATGCACGCGTAATAACGATGCACTTATCCGCGCACAGGGACATAGAGATCCGTGTATCCCGATCGGATCGTTGCCGACTATTCGTCGCGCTTCGCCATTCAGCGCTGCGTCGACGCGTATTAAAAAATATACATGCATGTGGTGTACCCGTGCGTTTAACGTTACACGTTGTGCCTGTGTGTGTGTTTAAATCACGCGGACGCGGACCCGGATGCGTTTATTGCACGCGTACTCGCGCGTTTGCACGCGTACGCTCGCGTTTACGCGCGTATTCTGCACGCGAAACGGCGACTCGTTGGAACAAATGGACCCCGAAACACGCGTCGTCTCTCGTCGTTGCACGGCGATTCGACTGCCACGCATTATTAGCGTCTTTCTTCCGGTGCAGCCGAGTGCTCGCCGTCGGATTATCGGTCGGAAGGAGCCGGCGCGCCGCGGAACGGCTGGCAAAGCGTCGTCGCAGCGACTCGCGACGGCGGAAAGCCATCGAGATGGATCGACGCGATTCGGGTTGCGCTCGCGAGGATCGTCCTGGCATCCTGCGAAGTCCTATTATTCCGGCTTGCAACTTCGCCGCGACGATAATCCCGCGCGAAGCGACGCGTGTGAGACTGAACAGGCTGCCGCAAAGGTGTTCGCGCGGCGCGAAAGCTTGCGAGCATCCCGCGGAATTAGGTTACGCGATCCTTTTTTTGCTTTCGGTCGAAACGCGCGTTCCCGGGGTCGACGAGCCGCGCGGTCCACGCGCGGAAACCCTTCCGAAATAAGCTTCGACGTCGCGAAATAAGCTTCGGCCCGCTTCCGCTCGAGTTTCGGCGTCTCGGATCGGATCGAGACCGACGGGAGATCTTCGAGATCGCTCCTCGAGCGTCGCGCGGCTTTCGCCGACGCGTAAAAATCGCACCGGCGTCGATCGCCGGTGACAAGATTGCGGCTCGCCCGAGACGCAATAATCGAGAGAGGAACAATGGAACTGTCGCGGCGCGTCGAACGCTTGCCAGAAACGATTTGTCAGATCCGAATCGCGCGTCTCTGTGTCTCCTCTCTCTCTCTCTCTCTCTCTCTCTCTCTCTCTCTCTCTCTCTCTCTCTCTCTCTCTCTGTTTCGTTCGCGTATTTGCGTGTGTATTCGTTCGTGTATTTAACGTGTATGTTCGCGCGTATATCGCATATCGCGTGTACATTACGCGTGTGTCGCGTATGTCGCGTGTATGTTCACGTATGCGTGTCCGTTCGTGTGCGTATGCTCCTTCGTTCGTGGGTGCGTATGCACGCGTGTGTGTTCAGTGTTCTCTCGTGCCCGCTAACGTCGGCCCTGCATGTGCGGCTGTGACTTCGAAAATCGTACAAAAACACTGATCACAGTAAAATAATAGAGCATTCGGTGCCCAATGTACAAACAATAAAGTATCATAGTATCTACCTAAGGATTTCGTCAACATGTCTTTTCATTGCGCTAGGTTGTTTTCTCGTTTTTTTATCCACCTCTTTCCTCCTGTTTCACAGTTCCTCTCTGTCTCTAAAACGTTATCATAATGTCAATAATTATGATTATGTGTCCCCGTAGTTGAATGCCTATGCATCGTTTACGTGTGTCTCTATGTGATACATTATACGCATATTATATTTATATAGATACACATTTATACGTATTCAATGTGCCGTGACATCGTGTGTACATATATGTATGTATTTATATATGTATATAAATATAATATATCGTGTAACGAATTATTTATTCCGCTTAGCCTAGATACTCATACCTATAGGTAATTCTTTTAGTTACGTTAGATCTTCCTATTCACATGTTCGTCTATGTCGATACGCCGATGTAT